AATTGAATTTACAAAACCGAGTTTTCAGCAGTTTTTAGAAACTGTTTATCTATGTTCAAACATTTATTTATCTCAACTGAGAAGCGATTTTTTAGAAATTCTTTCTCTAACATGTTCATCTATATGTCTAGAACCTTATATTAAAATTTTATTATTTTTAGAGTTTATTTATTATTTTTAATTGATTTTACAAAGTCAGATACGTAAATTTCCAGAATGCTGGAATTTGGGGTATTTTGGTCTTTTCAGCCTATAACGGCTAGTAACGACTAGTTTTTGATATTTTCGGTTTTTGGGAGTTTGTGGCTGGTTTAAGAGGCTATAAAAAGCCCTCAACTTTCATTGTTTCTTATGGATGTTTAAGAGAGTTTTAAAAGTTTGTTGAAGGGTTTTTAAGTTTGTTTCAAGAGTTTGTTTGTGAAGAAAATTCCACAAGAGCTTGAGGAGATCATCTATTGAAGTTTGAGCTTCCAACTATTCTCCCTCCACCTCTTGATCTATTGAGAAGATTTCTAAACTCTTATCTAGCTTTACATTTGTATAGTTATTTGATTATTTTTCTTTAAAGCTAGTTTTTATATTGAGTTTAGATTTGATTATATTATCTCATTGTTACACACACCCACATTGAGCTTATTGTATTTTCATACATAGTATATTTGGGTTGGTGAGAGTTGTAACAATTGAGTGTGAGCTTTCATTGTGTTCTCATCTATATAAGAGAACAATCATTTGATTTATATTGTGCTTATTGTGAGATATACTTTGTAATACACTTGTACACCGAGAAGAGTGTGTGGTGAGAGTCGGGGATCATCCCAAGAGGAGTGGCGTCGGTTGACGAACTTAGGGAGAGGTTGTAACCGAGCACTTGAGGGAGACACAGCTAGGTCCAACACTTGTGAGGGTGTAGAGTGGGTTTGCAAGAGTGTGAGTTGTAGAGTTTTCGATTAGCTAGAAAACCGAGTGTGTAGAAGTTCCGGTTTCCAAACCGAATTGTGATAGTGGATTTCTCCCCGGGAGTGGGGAGCGGAGACGTAGGACGGAAGATCCGAACTCCGTGATCACATTTGTAGTTTGATTATATCACCCTTGTATTAGTTTATATATCCTTGCATATATTTGTAATATTTATCATATAGGATATATCTCATTGTGCATATTGCTTATCCTAGCTCATATATCTTGTTGTATTTCATACTTGCTAGGATAACTTGTTAATTAGTTTTAATTAGCATAAAATCAGATTAGATTAGCACAAGACCCTAATCACCCCCCCTCTAGGGTCTAACATGACACTCCCCCGCCAATCCTCTTCAATAGGACGACAGGCCCACAAAGTCGCTCCAATCGCGACAATCTCGTCATGTTAACACTACACCTCTGACAATTTCCCGTCGATCCTCTTCAATAGGACGATGGGCCCACAAATCTATCACGTTGACAATCACCTCTGATAGTTCTCTTGTACTCCAACTGGTGCATGACTGCTCCTACACTCCGACAAGTACACGAGTATAAACTGCTTTTTTTGATCCTCCAACTAGAATACGATGCTAAACTATTCCCTACCCTACACTTCCACTTCTTGAGCCAGGTTTCCTAGTACGGGCGAACCGCTCAAATCAGGCGAGCCTAACAGGTTTAGGCGAGCTCCACTTCTTGAGCCAGGTTCCCAGTACGGGCGAACCGCTCAAATCAGGCGAGCCTAACAGTTTAGGCGAGCTCCACTTCTTGGGCCAGGTTCCCAGTACGGACGAACCACTCAAATAAGTCGAGCCTAACAGTTTAGGTGAGTTTTACTTCTTGAGCCAGGTAACCTCTCAAAATAGGCGAGACTAGCAGTTGAGGTGGGCTGCATCAAACCCCCACTTGGTCAAACCTTCCGATAGTTAGGACCAAAGCCACAATCCCCCGCCAATCATCTTCAATAGGATGGCGGGAACCCCAAATCTGTCACGTTAATACTACACCTCTGACAAAATCAACTTACCAATCATCTTTAAAAGGATGGTAGGTCCTCAAAGTCGCTCTGATCGTGGAATTCCTATCACGTTAATGATTACA